AAAAAAAAAAAAAAAAAAAAAAAAAAAAAAAAAAAAAAAAAAAACTGTATTCCACAAAATTGGAAAAATCTAAAATAAATGGTTAATTTTCCACTTAACAAAGTTAAATCAAGATCAGATAAACAATTTGAATACACACATAAGGAAATAAAAGCAGTCACTAAAATATCCCAACAAAAAATGAAGCCCAGGGCCTGACAGTTTTAGCTCAGAATTCTACCAGATTTTCAAAGAAGAACTGATGCCAATACTTGTCATTTTTTCTGCAAAACAGAAACAGAAGGAACAGTACCCGATTCATTTTATGAAGCCACAGTCAGCTGATACTCATGACACACAAAGATTCAACAAAGAAAGAAAATAACAAACTAATTTCCCTCATGAACGTAGATACAAAAATATTCAATAAAATACTGGCAAACTATATCCACGAACACAACAAAATACCATTGATCATGATCAAGTAGGCTTCATCCCAGAGATGCAGTAATGCTTCAACATACAAAAATAAGTTAATGTAATTCACCATATAAATAAACTGAAAGTAAAAAAATAACATGATCTTCTCAGTGGATGCTGAAAATTTCTTTGACAAAATCCAACATACTTTCAGAATAAAGGTCTTAGAGAGATTTGGGATACAAGAAAACATCTAAATATAACAAAGACAATTTATAGTAAACCAACATCAAATTAAATGGAGAGAAACTCAAAACCGTTCCACTAAAATCAGAAATAAGATAACGCTGTCCACTCTCTCCATATCTAGTCAATATGTACTTGATGTTCTAGCTAGAACAATAAGACAACTGAAGGAGACCAGGAAGATGAAAATTGTAAAGAAGTCAAAGTATCTTTATTTGCTGATGATACAGTATCATATATACACAACCCAAAATTTCTATCAAGGAATTCCTATAGCTGATAAACATCTTTAATGAGGTATTTGGATATATAATCAACTCAAAAAAGAATCAGTAGCCCTCTTATACAGAAATGACAAACCAGCTAAGAAAGATATTAGGGAAACAACAAACACCCTTTACAACAGCCACAACTAATATAAAATATCTTGGGGTAACTCTAACAGAGAAAGTGAAGGACTTCGAGTTTTTGATAAAGGAAATTGAAGAAGATATCAGAAAATGGAAAGACTTCCCATCCTCATGAATCAGTAGAATTAGCATAGTAAAAATGGCCATTCTACCAACAGCAATCTATAGATTCAATGCAATCCCCATCAAAATCCCATCAAAATTCTTCACAGATCTGGAGAAGACAATAATCAACTTTATATGGAAAAACAAAAAACCCAGGATAGCCAAAACAATCCTATACAATAAAGGATCTTCTGGAGGCATTACCATCCCTGACTTCAAACTCTATCACAGAGCTACAGTAATGAAAACAGTGTGGTATTGGCATACAGACAGGTTGATCAGTGGAACTGAACAGAAGACACAGACATACATCCACATACCTATGGATGCTTGATTTTTTTTATAACGAAACCAGTAATACACAATAGGGAAAAAGAAAGGGAAACAGAATATATTTTGTGGGTAGACTCTGGGCAGGTGGGGATGGCAACAGGAGGGATTATGCAGGGGTGGGAAGGATGCCGGGAGAGTACTGAGAGAGAAAACTGGAATTGGGGGTGGGGCAGTGAAATATAGCAGCCTAGAAATTCCTAGGAAACTCCCTGGAATTTATGACAGTGACCCTAGTGAAGTCTGACAGTAATGGGAGGAATAGGAAGCCCAAATTGGCCACCCTCTATGATCAGGCAAGGCTTCTAGCAATGCCTCCTGGATGTCAACCCAGCTACAGAATCTTCGACCTACAATCTGTCCCTGTTTGCAAGATGTGCTGGAGTAATGAGGGCGCAGAACTTGTGGGAGTGGCCAACCAATGACTGTTCCAGCTTAGGGCCCCTGCTATAAGAGGGACCCCATGTCTGACACTGCATGGATGGCCAGGAAACAGAGGCAGGATAGCCCAGAGACCCAGACTAGAATCAATCACAACTGGCAAAACAAGATTTAAAAAGTTCAATGAAGTGATTTCTAATGATATTGTGCTATACTCATAGAGCAGGGCATAGCCTGATTGTCATCAGAGAGGCTTCATCCAGCAACTATTGGGAACAATACAGAGACTCACAACCAAGCATTAGGCAGAGCTAGGGGAACTCTTCAGAAGAGGTGGAGGAAGGAATGTAGGAGCCAGAGAGGTATCGGACATGACAAGAACATATCTCACAGAATCAATTAAGCAAGGCTCATAGGCCTCATAGAGACTGAAGCAATAAACACAAACCCTATATGAGTCTGAGCTAGGTCCTCTGCACATATGTTATGGTTGCATTGCTTGGTGTTTTTATGGAACTTCTAACAGTGGGAATGGTGACTGTCTCTGACTCTTTTACCTGCTCTTGGGACCCTTTTCCTCCTGGTGGTTTGCCTTGATGAATCTAGTTTTATTGTAATTTCTAAAGCCATGTTCAGTGGATATCCCTGAGAGGTTTGCTCTTTTTCTTTTTAAGGGAAATGGAGGAGGAGTGGATCTGGGGGAGAGGGAAGGGATTGGAAGGGGGGGGGGGGCAGAAGAAACTGCTATCTGGATGTGATGTATGAGAGAAGAATAAAAAAGACATAAGAGCTATCTCAGGTGGTGTACTGGAAAACTGGAAGTACTGCACAGGGATGTGAGATCAACATTCACACCTTATTGATAAAGACCTGAACTTGTGAAGGATTGCCCTGAAGGTACAGCCAGAAGTGTAAACAGTATAGCAACTGTACTTGAAAAGGATTCCCTATTGACCATACCAGCATTAAGGAAGGCCCAGAGGTCAGAAAAGCATTTGAAACATGATTTCGGAAGGTCTTCCTAGAAGGATGACCAGCCTTTATGACCGGACCTCACTTTGGAGTCTATAAATGTTAGTGTGAATAAATCCTACTTTTAAAAATCCAGGTGTGTATTTGCAGAATTTTCTTAATAGCTTTCACCAAGTTACACCAAAAATCAGGCAGTGGGGGAGAATAGACATTGATTTTTGCGTCTGGGAACTTGAATTAAAATCCATGTTCTGACACTGCCTCCCTCCATGGTCTTGGGCAATTCCCTTTTCCTACTAAACTTCAGTCTTCATATCTTTAAAACATCAAAGAATTTTTATGTCCCTTGGAATTTAAAATATCTAAAAACAGGATACTTGTCTGAAAGCTTTCTTCTTATGCCAACAAGATCTGAATACTAAATGTGAGCTATTTAGTAAATTGCCTTTGTTCTTTTCTATTTATCCTATGCTTCAAAATAAAGTTATTTCTCATTTAATTGAACCTTCTCCTTGTGACTGGTTTTAGCGTACCTGTTTAGAGAAGGAAACCCAAGAAATTAATAGGTTTTCTGCTCTCTCTCCCCAATAATAAGTTTCTTCCCAATGCAGAAAGACAGATCAAGCCATATTGAAAATGTATAACAACAGGTTTAAGTTTGTTGTAATGAGGTCACTTATTTGTTTCCTGGCTGCCTAGCAGCTCAGACCTGAAATAATCTGTGTATCGCCATGTGGCTGTGGCTTACTGGCTAAAGTTCTGGTGTCTGTCTCTGGTGAGGCTACATTGCTTCTCTCTGACTCTGCCTCCTTTATCCTAGCATTCAGTTTAGTTTTCCCCACCTAGCTCTGCTCTACCCTATCACGGGCTCAAGACAGTTTCTTTATTAACTAATGGTATTCACAGCATACAGAGGAGAATCCCGTATCATAAGTTCTTCATTCCCAGGGATGGAGGCCAGAGAAGCTGCACTTGCAAACTAAATCAGACTTTATAGATTGTAAGCAAGGGATGGTGGCATCTCTCCTCTCCTCTTCCTTCTTCCTCTCTCTCTCTCTCTCTCTCTCTCTCTCTCTCTCTCTCTCTCTCCTCATTTTTTTTACATAATGTGTCCCAGGCTGGCCTTGAATACATGATCTTCCTGCTTTCTCCTCCCAAGTGTTGGCTTTTCTTCAATTAGCACTCTCATGATTGCTTTACACTGTTGTATCAATTGTAAAACATAAATTGAGAATACAAATGGAAACATTTGACAATCTGACATCATTTAAAAGTATGCTACCTGATAAGTAAAAATCCCCCCTCCCTAGTAGTGAGTAACTCTGTCCATGCAATAAGTTAGATAAGGCTGATTTAATAATCCAGACTTAATCTGAGTAAAACATTCCCAGGTGGTCCCATGGAAAAGAAGAAACCATGAAGAGGGACCACGAGGAAAATTCTGTGGGCCAGACCTTAAATACCCTCTGGGAGTGGAGCCACTGCTTGGGACCTTTCTTGGGTAGGTTCTGGAGAGATCCCAATTTCACAAAGTTCACAGTCATACATAATGATCACACATTTATTATGTATAAGTTATTAAATGTACAATTCACATTAATAAATTATTTATGGTAAATTATGTATTTGGCATGTTACCGCATAAAATATGCAGAGAACACGGCCTTTAGAGCTATAAGGTTCGTGGCAATTAGTATGTCCACACAAAATTTGTCTTTTGAAAATACTCGATTTATTCATAGAAACATCAACATCTCACCAAGCAGGGAACACTGTTTGGGCAGAAATGCTAGGGTGGGGTTTGACTGGGGAATCTTCTCAAGTGAGGATGCTTTGGAAGATTACAGGCTTGACCCATGTTCACCATGAAGTCCTTCAGCTGCAGTAGGCTGGGGGAATGGCACTGAAGAGGTTCAGGAGAATCCTGAAGCCATGGGCCAATGGTTAGTGTTATGCCCAGATCACAGAGTCCCCCCAAAACCAACTAGAAGACAGAGTCCTGTATGAAAAAGAAAAGAGCCTTTATTCAAGCTTAAGCTTGGACTGTCCATCTGTCTGATGCAATAGTTGAGAGCAGAGAATGCCAAGCCCAGTCGGAGTGGTTTTTTTTTTTTTAATCATAGTAGAGGTTGGAGTGAGGTGTTTTCAGGGTTCAAAACCCTGATTGACTGGCATTTTTCTAGGGGTCTTGGCAAAAGGAGAATAAGTGAGTCCTGGACTCAGGGACGTCTGGTGGTCTTATCTAGTCTTATCTAATGATTGGAATCTCAGGGTCTTCCCTGGGTGGTGCCAGTAACTGACTTCTGGAACCCAGTGCTGCCTGTCATGGCAACTAAATGGCCTGGACCCCATGTGTGGCCAGGCTGCCCTGGGCCCCATATAGCCAGGGCCACATTATGTGTGACCAAGTTGCCGTGGGCCCCCCAGCTAGCACAGACAGTTGGGCCTATGTTGGTCCAGCAAAAGTGCTGGAAGTTCAGTGGACATGGAAGCCAAGGCCATGCACAAGTCATCTTGCCTATAGTTTATCAACACAGAGGCTGGAAAAAGCCAGTGTCTTAGAAGCACTGCAGTGCGATCCCGGAGACCATTCCTAATGTTCCAATTTTTGTATTATTTCATTGTGCAGTAACCTTGCATTACCAGAGCTCACAGCTTGGAGCTAGTTCCCTAGCATATCAACACCACCTTGTGGCTAGTTCATTAACATATCAAGGCCTGCTGTGGGCTAGACTCCTATCTGAGCTGCCTGGTGACCTGCCAGGGCCTTGCTTTCGAGGCCTAGCTTTTGGAGAGCTAAGCTGAGTTATACTATTATGTCAAGTCACATAAAATGGTCTTTGACTTACAGAAAATGATTTTACTTCTACATCTGAACTGTATCACACATTAGTAAAATTATTATACTAACTGTATTGAATATTATGCAAATATTTATTAAAACAGCTTTGCGTTTTAAAATTCAGACTTGATTTCTGGGATATAATTTGAATGATTCTGCTTTCTTGCATGTAGGAAAAAATACAAGAAATTATGTCACTTTACCTAGTATTTGACATAAGTATGCTTCTTGTTTTGAATGCAATTCTAGGGGCTGGAGACCTGGAGAAAGAAGAACAGTTGCTGCTCTCATGATATTCATGGCCTAATAGGAGATGGGCTGATGGAGGAGGGTTATCTGTCTATGTGTTACTTTCATTGGTTAAAGAAAGAAACTGCCTTAGCCCTTTGATAGGACAGAAAATAAGGTAGGCAGAGTAGACAGAACAGAATGCTGGGAGAAAGAAGCCGAGACAAGCAGTCGCCATGATTCTCCCACTCCAGACAGACACAGGTTAAGATCTTTCCTGGTAAGCCACCTTGTGGTGTTAAACAGATTATTAGAAATGGGTTAGATCAATATGTAAGAGCTAGCCAATAAGAGACTGGAACGAATGGGCCAGGCAGTGTTTAAAAGAATACAGTTTCCGTGTAATTATTTTGGGTAAAGCTAGCCAGGTGGCAGAACGCAGTCCACTGCTCCACTTACAACAATGGGCCAGTAAATAAACAGTGAAAATAAAATGTGAACTGTGTTACAGTGGAGATGTGAATAGCATTCTCTGGGATTATATAGTAGTATTACTTTTCAAGGGTGTTGTTCTGTGCCCCCAAATGTCAAACCTTTACAACAGGCATTTACAGAATTAAATTTTTACTGAATGTTGTTGACATGCAGGACTAGGAATTAATGGGTCAAAGTTGCCTCCTGGATCAGTTGACTGGAGATGAATTTATAGGAAGGGAAATCTACTTGATGGTCAGAGAACAAGAAATTGTACATGTTTTCTTTCAAGACAAATTACTCTGTGCAGAAGACATAAATGATGAGAAAATCTGACTAGTTCTGCTCATATTCATTCTTCCGAAGCCAGCTCCATTCCAGGGAGATAGCTCAATTGGTAAAAGGCTTGCCATACAAGCATGAGGCCCTGAATTCAATAACCAGCATCCATAATCCCAGCATGGAGGAAGGGAAGAGAGGAGGATCCTGGGCCTCGCTAACCAACTAGCCTAGCCCACTTGATGAGACCCAGGCCAGTAAAAGATGCTGTCTTAGAAAATAAAATGAAAGGTTCCCGGGGCCTATCACTCAGAGTTGATTTCTGACATCTACACTCACACGCATGCGCGCACACACACATGAAGAAAAAAGACAAAGAAAGAAATAAAAAGAAAAACAATTTCACATGCTAAGAATCATTAGGGAGAGGCCTGGTGGCTTACCCTGGAAGGCAATTGAAGAAAGCAATGTCAGGTTCTGCCCACCTTACCCCTTCTGCAGGGACTAAGACTGCCTTTGGGAGGAGGAAGAAATGTTTTCTAGATGGGTATTAATCAGAGCTGAGTCCGTTACTCATCTCATTGGAATGTTTCAGTCAATTTCTGGAGGGCAGGCAGAAGCATGCAGGTTTGTAGATTTCATGCTTTTCCAAGGTGACACATTTTGAATTAAGTCTGACTCAACAGCTTTTCCTGTTACAGAATTAATATGCCTTCCAGTGAGAAAGCACTTTGTGCTCTTAGAGATGAGTAAAGGAAAAAGCTTTTTAATAATAGTGTATGACTGGTTCTGCCTAATGCACCAAAAAAGAAACTTCCTTAAACAGAAAATTTCCCAGTTTATATAGGCTTCGGCTTATACACTCCACATACACTGTCATCCTTGAATCCACTTCAGGTTAGTCCCAAGTCACTGAAAGATAGGACATTAGTGATCCTGGCAGGTTCCACTGTGGCGGGGGGACCATGCAGGAAACAGAATATGCCATGCAAAGAGAGCTTGGGGAGTATGAAGTTTTATTTAGGAAGACGGTATTGGGAAGGTTTGGGAGGGTAGCGTGGAGGAAGGGAGAGATACAGAGACAGAAAGAGAGAGACAGAGAGAAGAGAGAGGAAAGAGAAGAGGAAGGGGGAGGGAGAGGTAGCAGCTGCCTCTTCAGAGAGAGAAAAGAGAGCTTGCCTCTGGGGAAAGGGAGAGATTGGAAGTGGGCAGAGTTTGTCTCTTAAAGGGATGGGGTACTAAGAGGCAGTCACACTTTGAGCCATTTAAACAGAGATAGGGATAAACCAGTCTGCTACCATGTTGGGCTTGAAAGCCATTTTATAGTAAAGACAAACTACGTTCATTCCTATTTATGATTAAATTTATGTTTCTCAAGCATTGGGCTATGCCACACCTGTAACTTTAGCCACAAATGGTTCTGTACTGTCTGTTCCAGGAAACAGCAACCATGTCTTTATTTCAAGAGGTTGTTATGACTTGTTATGCTTATGTTGGGCTTCTGTAACCCCACCTATTTGTCCATCAAATCCCCCATTTGGAACCCCCCTACACCTAAGCTATAAAAACCCTTATCTTTCCCACATCCTGATCTGACCTCTTGAACCCCTCCTTACGGGGAGACAGCCCATGTACAGGAATAAAGTTTACTGTAATTAATTTAGTCATGATTTGGGTTGGTGGTCTTTTACTCTTTTCTTGTGGGGTTAATAACAGGATATTGCAAGTCTGGCCACTTGGGTAGATGGGTGACTTATGCAGAAAAGATATTGTCAAAATTATCCCTTAAGTACATCAGTGTTATTTCTTTCCCCAAATAGTCGCTGTCCAGGGTCCTCTTACATACCTGTAAGAATTATGCTTTTTCTGATAGGAGAATCTGGACTTAATAGAAGACCAGCACTTAATGAGGGCCTTAACTCTTGGGGGTCTGTTCTTTGATATGGGGATGTACCTATTGGCTTATTGTCAGTCAAAGTTCTTTCTTTTTATTATGAGAGTGGAGCTTATTATGGTGAAATAGAAGTGAACATTTACAAAAACATTTTCTTGGCAATCCTAAATTTCGATTATGGCAAAAACATTTCTTTCCTAAAGCTTCTAACAAGCCTGGTTAGTACACTGCTTATCTTCCAAGCATAATCCTTCCAGCTCTTTTAGTTAAATTCTACTTTATGTAATTTATTATCTCCTAAACAAGTGTATGAGTAAGCCATTTATAGCATCAATTTGATTCCTTCAAGTTTCTTGTGTGCGTCAATCTTCTTAGCACTCTCACTTCCCCAGTTTATTTAGTTCTATAACTATTATTATTAGAGTTGAGAATTCTCAAATATAAGCTATTCCAATAGTTCTCAAACTGGGTCTGGCTGAGCCCTAAGGTTTCAGAGTAAAGGGAAGTAGATCTTACTTCTCCTTCAAATAGAACTCAGCTAGTAATTATTCTCATGGTTAAAGGTGCCTTGGAAGGGTTCTCTACAACACAATTCTCTGTTGCTTTAAAATATACAAACCCAGTGATTTTGTCCTATTTGTCTCTATGTTGAAGAGAGAGAAACTGAGGATCAGAGTGAGCAGGTGTTGGCCAGCGAGCAAAGAAGTCCAACAGAAAACCAAATTCTGTTAAGATAAGCAAGCTACCTTTATTTATTGAAATTGGCTTTACCAGTCTGCCTGTCTGTGGTAAAAGTCCTCCAGTGCCAAGCTGTAAAAGTCTACCTTCCATATTGCAAGACATGGCCTGCAATGGCCTCTTAGTCACAGAAAGCCAAGTCAGATTGAAAGGATCCAGAAACTGGAGCCAGGTACTATTAATCCCACCAGTAGAGAATAAGACCACTTCCACAACCTTTGAGCCAAATTTGGAGCAAGCTTTAATTAAATACTCTCCAGGAATATGGACTCTGGGCAGGTCCACTCCTGGGTTCCCAGGAAATGGCCACAAGTCACATATTGTAGAGGCCTAAAAAGGCAAAACTCACAATTCATCACATTCCCCCATCCAGTCCAATCAGGGGCAAGCACCCATCCTGAAGTATTTACTGCCCACTTATCTCCCACACACATGTGGTCAAGCACATCTGGTGGAGATAGGTCAAATGGACTTGTTTAAGGGAGTGGAAACATAAACAATAGCCTCTAACATTTAACTTTGGTTCTCACTATACTATCAATGTTAGGGTTCCTATTGCTGTGATGAAACACATGACCAAAGTAACTTGGGGGAAAAGGGTTTATTTGGCTTACATTTCCAACATAGTCTATTAAAGGAAATCAGAGCAGGAACTCAAACATGGCAGGAACATGAAGGCAGGACCTGAGGCAGAGGCCATGGAGAGGAATGCCGCTTACTGACTGACTTCACCTGCTTTCTTATAGAACCCAGGACTACCAGCCACAATGGGCTGGGCACTCACACATCAATCACCAATTAAAAAATGCCCTACAGCAGTGGTTCTCAACCTGTGAGTGAGTTGCTACCCCTTTGGGGACCACATATCAGATATTTATGTTTATGTTATACCAGATCACAGGGACCCCCAAAAGACCACCACAGAGACAGAATTCCATATGTAAAAGCAAAGGGCCTTTATTAAAGTTTGGACTTGGATTTTCTATGTGTCCAACACATGGCATGATCAGAGAACCTTGAGCTCAGCTAGGGTGAGTTTTTATCATGGCAGAGGTTGGGGTAAGGGATTTCTAAGGATCAGGACTCCTGATTGACTGACATTTGTCTAGGGGTGTCTTGGTGAAAGGAGATGAGTGTGTGCTGGGCTAAGGGACATCAGGCGATCCTATCTACAATGCTTGGAACATTAGGAATTTTCTTTAGAACATTAGGTACTTTCCCCTTGGGTGATCCACATTGGGGTGTCTTCTGCTGCAATCCTGGCCACAGTGGGTTCGCTTGTTCCAGGGTAGGGGCTTTAGGGTTAGAAATGTTAGCTGGAGAAACAGAAATAAGAAGAAAGCACAAAGACATAGGATAGTACCCGGAGGGCAACTGAGCAACTACTGAATGCTGAATTATTATTCTTTTAAGCTCTCGGTTCACCCATGTTTAATTTTCTATACACTTTTATACCACAATACAAAAGAGGGGAAAGAAGGCAAAAGACTGCCTTAACGTGATACAAAGGACAATAAGAACAGTTATTTGCTCCAAATACTTGAGACATCAAGTCATTATTTCTTGAGAAAAGCGTTCCTTGTTTAGGCAGTGAACCCACCCTAGACCAAGTACCCTGAAGGCAGCCACTCCTTAGGTCAGACCTCCTATTTCAAAAGAAGAAGCAGAGTACTCTGACCTTTGGTCCGGGAGGAGTGGATCTGCCTCCACAGGCCATCTTAATTGTCCAAAACACCAAGCAATCACACCCTAGGTCAGGGTGTGTAGCCACGGTTGTTGTAAACAACTCTGAATAAACTCAAACTCTGTGACCTTCAGACAAGGTGGAATAGGCTCCCATTTTTGGGCTTAGGTGGGTTAGGTGAATGCTGAGGGACAGCTCCGGGCCTAGGAATAAGGCTACATTAATGTACATACAACTTATTGTCCATGGAAGTAGTTGGAACATTGAATGAGTATGGATATTTCAACAGATAGGAGATACTGAGTAGTGGAGGTTCTAAAGACGTTTGTGTTAGGCAAGTTGCAACAAGCTGCATAGAGAAAAGGTCTCCCTTTACCAGATTTAAATAGTTTTTAAGATGAAAACAGTGGAGAAAGGGAGACATACTATCCAGTATGGGTGGGAAAAAAAAGGGCTCCTAGGTATAGTGGAGAAAGTTTATTGTAGATATGAGGAAGAAAACAGAGACACCTGGAAGGGTTCAGACTGAACACAGCCAGCAGACTGAACCAGGCCTTGAGAGGGGAGGAAGGGGTGGAGTGAAGGAGGAAGAGAAAAGAGAGGGGGGCAAGAGAGGAGCTGAGGACCAAGAAACCAACAGAGCTATGGACCATGTGTCTAAAATGGCTGAAATTATATAGGGTTGGGTGGCCCAGTCTTTTAACCCCAGCACTTGGGAGGCAGAAGCAGGCCAGCCTGGTCTACAGTGTGTGTGTGTGTGTGTGTGTGTGTGTGTGTGTGTGTGTGTGTGTGTGTGAAGTCCAGCCTCTGGGAGGGAGAGGTTTAGGGTAACCTGCCGGCTGAGCAGTGATGGGAGGAGCCACAGGAATTGAGTGATTCTGGGAGAGCTGACCAGCATTTGGTTTGATATGTTAACAGACACTTCAGTTAGCCTTTTGTCCTGGGTTAACACAATGTAAGAAAAGCAGGTCTGCTTTAGAGATTCTGGCAACCTGAGCAGCAAATCAAGGCTTAAGGAGCCTATTGATCAGAGGAAGTACTTCCAAAATTGATATACAAGCTGTATGAGAATTATATAAAACCTCAGAATTATGTTTGATAGTTAGAAACATAATTCTGAAACTTATTCAGAAAAGGAAAATATCTAAAAGTAATTTCAAAAAAGAATAAAGAAGAACAATCACGTTATCTGATTTCAGTTCTTATTAGGTAGCTACAATAAGCAAGACTATATGGATCAAAGGAACAGAATAGAGAAAGCAGACTGACTCACAGAAATAGGTTTGAGTGGATTTTGACAAAAATACAAAAATGATTAAATGAAAGAAGGCTCTTTTCAACAGATAATGCCGAAGCCCCAGGTGTTCATTGGTAAGTTTAGAATTCCATCTCTCTGGGCTGAAATTGAGGTTACAGCAAATGGCTAAATTATACTCAGAAGGTTGAAATTATCAAGAAATGCAGGGCCTGCTATCATGCCTTTCTTTGAGAAATGGTGACGGAAATGAAAATGAATCAGCATGACAAGGATTGTTGTTTTTCTTCTTCATTTTGTGTGTGTAATGAGGATCTAACACTGTGGTTCCTTTGTGAAAAGTGTGGCTGGTGGGACCAGAACCTTTAGAGTCACTTCTGCAGGTGTAATCAAGTGTATTCATCAGAAAAGGAAAGAATTTAAAGACTTGTAGGAATTCTACCATGTGAGTCATCCCTAGCCAATAATACATGTGCTCATTTATGGAAAAAAAAAACAATTTTTTACCTAAATGTAGGCCAAATTCTTTTCAAAATGGGGATTGGACCTAAATGCAAAATTGTAAAATTTTTATATTAAAGAGGAAAATATACAAGATATAAAGCTTACAGTTTGATTCCCAAAGCATAATCCAGAAAAGGAATCATTGATAAAAATGAACCTTATTGAAAGTATTTTCTCTTAGTAAGAATGATGATAAGATAACCTGTAGAATGTCAAAAAAGCATTTGATAATCATACATTAAATAAGAATGAAAATCTAGAATGTACAAAAGAACCCTTGAACTTCATTTGTAAAAAGAATATCAAGTGCCTGGCGGTGATGGAGCATGCCTTTACTACCAGCACTTGCAGATAGATCTCTGTGAGTTCGAGACCAGTCTGGTCTACAAAGCTAGTTCCAGGACAGCATCTTGTCTCAAAAAACAAACAAAGAAAGAAACAAGAAAGATTATCAAGTAGAAAATGGGAAATCAACATAGAAGACATTTCACTGGCGAGGATATATACATGGTAACTAAGCACATGATAAAAACAATATTCTTAGCCACCTAGGAAATGTAAATTAATATCACAATGAGATATTGCTACATATGTATCAGAAAACCTAAAATAAAAATGGAGGATAATACCAAATGCTGTCAAGGATATAGAATAACTGAATTACTCATGCATTCCTGATGAACACAAAAAATGAGAAAATAGTTTAATAATTTTTCTTTCTTCTTTATTGTTTTTAAAACAGAAAGGTGGGATTCCCATATTGTTCAGTAATTACACTCCTGTCCATTTGCTTCAGAAAAATGAAAATTGATATTCATACCAAACTTGTACACATTTATAATAGCTTTTTATATAATACTCATAACCTGCAAAAAAGACTTGGTATTCATTAGTGGGTGAATATTTAATGAAACTATGGTAGACCCATACCATAGAATACTGCTCAGCAATTAAAAACAAAAACAATTGGCAAATCTCTGGGTGACTCTGTAAAAACTTAGGCTGACTGAACAAATGTTGTATAATACATGATTCTATTTCTGTAACATTCTTAAGTAGAGTACAGATTATTCTTATCAACTACGAAAATCCCTCTAGGTATAGTTTTCTCTATCTTGGTTATATCAATGTCATTGCTGAGTCCTCTATGATTATGCTGTAGTTCTGTTGTGGATTGCGTTGGGTGGGCTACTCAGTCTAGGGGTTAGTAACCCACCCGCAATCAAGTTATTCCAGGGTCTCGGAGGGGCGCTACCTGGAAGGGAATGAGCTAAGACAGAGGAACGAGACCAAGCAACTTTGTCAAGGCCTCTGTTTATTAGGGACGGGTTACAGTTTATATATGGTAAGGGATGAGGGGCAGGGTACGGGATCTCGCAGGCCGCGTGGTTCCGGTCACGTAGCTTGGTTACATTCAGACAGACAGGCCAGAAGTCACAAGTGGCCACACCTGGTTCCCTGGATAGCTGGAATGTGAGGCGGGTTCCGCTAAGATTAGCAGTTAATTGGGTGAGGGGCAGGTTTTGTCAATAGAACATAACTATGGGTGTGAGGTTCTCTGCAGACTCCCTAGAGTGATGGT